GTTTTAATTGTCTAATTTAAATACAATGGGCTATTTCTTTCTCACTATAATTCTAATTTTTAACAATCAAATAAAAACAAAAGATTACAGAACATTACTTTGTATGTTAAAAAAGGAAACTCAATTCACACATTTATCAAAATAACCCAAATCATTTATCAAAACACTAATCATATTTGAAACACTTCAATCTCATTGATACTTTATTTGGTTCACTGGAATGAGATAAATGATGAGGCCCATTGCAATGAATTTTTCATTATTCCTTTAATCAACCAAATATGAGAAGTGTAAGGAATCTTTGCACTTTATTATAGAAGATTAACACATAGTGAAAAAAAAAAATGTAATGATAGGAAAAATCCAAAAATCAACAAATTTGACTATCTAAGCCTATAAACAACAATTCCTATTTAGCAAAGTTGAGAGCTCTATCCGCTAAACAACAATTTCCAACAACACATAAAACATATGTTAAAAAATTTAAATCCCATCCCAAAAATGTCTGATTTTCTGAGATGAGAAAACAACAAAGAAAAACAACCCATTTCCATTATTCATTCATAATCAACAATGATTCAAGATACAATTATAGCCTGCTCAATCCATTTCAAAAGCATAACAACAAACTAAGCATCACTGTAACAATGTAATAAATATATTTAAAAAAAAAAAAAGTCGAATGTAACAATCAATCTTCAAAACAAACTAAAATAGATATGAATGAATAATGAAATGAAATGAAATGATGGGTGTTGAAGGTGGGGGTAAGGAGAGGGCTTCGAGCGAGGGAGTTACATATCAGAGCCGTTGGGGTGGGAAGTAGTTTTTTGGCTAAATGTCATATAAGACTCTGTATTTTCCTACCTCTTCATTTGGTTTTCCCCTTTGGCTTGACACACTTTTAACTTGGAGCATGAAACTGATCAATTTTGCAATATGCATTCATCGGACTGGACCAAACAATTGAATATAGTTCTCTAGTTGTGTGTAAACTTGGTGTTTTATCCAGTTCTTGAAAAATCATTTTGACTTAAGGTTATATTAGTTGCTAAAATCAGAGGACTTTAGTTTTGCTATTTTTTGAATACATACTTGGGTTTTATATAGCCAAATAGAAAACCAACTACAATTAAAAAATAATATAAGCAAAAAGCCACAACTATATAAGAAGCCAAAAGGCAAGACAATCCATTTCAATTATCACAATCCAATTTACCGAATTAATAAATGATACTGATTACTTGAAAGTAGAAAAATGAAAGAAAAAAATAGGAAAAACACAACCCATCATTGGATTATTAATAGGAAAAACAATCCCAAAATGTCTGATTTCCTGATTAATCCCTAAAATCAATCAATCAATTTCAAAAGCATGAACAACAAAATGATTCAAAAATTATAACATGCTTAATACAGATTTATGGATAAATAATTTAAAAGCATGAACAAAAACAATATAGCAATCAACAACAATAACAATATAACATGCTTAACACAATCCACAACAGGTGGGTATGGAATTAAATTGGAATTATATTTAAATGAAAAAGAAGAAAAAAGTAAAATTATATTTCATTCATATAATTTTAGGGTGTATCATGTACAGACACTAAAAATTCTTGGTTCAAAAGATTGGTATTATCGAAATTGGTTTTCTTCTATAAATTGAAATTAAACAAAACTAAGATGAGCAATATAGAGTAGGGATGAGGTTGCCAATTAAAATTTTATTCAAGTCTAAGCATATGGGGAAAAAAAAAAAAACAAACAAACAAACAAAACAAAACAAAAAAAGAATCTCAGTCAGGAGTTTAATTTTTTAATTTAGAAATTGTTGATCAGTCAAGCACTCAGATACATGACTGATGTCAGAAGTTTAATTTTTTATTTTAATTTTTTAAGGCAAGAAAGTGATGTCCTCAACTTTGATTATGTTCACAAATTAAACTTGCAACTCAGTTATTGTTCAATCACTCTTCTTGGACAGTGATGGATAAACAAAAATGATGGCAGGTTATCTAACAAAGATATACATAACAAAGAAAAACGCAAGAATGATGATTACATAGGTTATATAATCTATACTCTAACTAATCATCCCTTCAAGAAGATGGCAAACAACCATATTATGATTGTCTATTTGCTTTAGTTTTCATTACTCTTCTGGCCAAAGCAGAGGAGAACGAACCTACTTTGACTTGTTCACCAACTAATAGATTGTAGTTTAAATCATGAAAAGAGACATGAAACCATATAAATCATGAAACCATATAAGTTCACCAACAGTTTTCTTTACTTCTCTTATACGTTGGGACATGATTTTTAGGGAAAAAGAGACCCAAAAAAAAAAAAGAGAGAGAGAGAGAGAGAGAGATAGAGAGGGAAAAGATGAGGCAATTCAAACCATATAAAACGTCTTAACCATGAACAATTACAAATAAAGCCAATCTCCAAAGATATCTTAATATCACTTCCAAACACAATCAGACTCCAATCAAAATTGAGTGAATTCCTGTAACAAAGCTAATTAATCCAAGAACTTGACACATTTCAATGAAGCATCTTCTAAAACATATCTTCTAAAGCACATCTTATTATTACTATTTTTTTTGTAATTATTCATGAAACAAACAATAGAAACCAATATGGTGGATACAAACCAAAATGTATATAAAAAAGAATGTAGTGAAATCAAACTACAACCAAACTGCAAAATTAAGACAAAAACACAAATCCAAATCCTACAAACAACACATTTCACCAAATCAAGCTCACTACCAGAATTGTGCAACTAAATAAGAAAATACGGGATAGGATTGTGCAACAATACATACCAAAACAAATAAAAGATAGGATACCCTTTATTGGTTTTGTTTCATATGGTAAAATAGCCTCTTTTGTTTTCACCAAATCAAATATTTCCTGCGTTTCTTACCTAATAGGATAGAAATTTTTTCAAACCCTTAGAAACACAAACACAAACACAAACACAGCCCTTTAAATGAGAGAAAACAATTGTCTTGATTAATCCATTTCATGAGATGAGAGAAAACAACTCAGAAAATTTTCATAAATGATTAAAAAACATGAAGAGAGTGAGAGTGAGAGTGGGGGGACTGAGACCTTGAGGGGAAGAATACGACGACGACCACCGAATCAACGAAGAGCCAATGAAGCAACAAAGAACCACCGAAGCAATGATGATGAATGGGTTTGAATACAACCACTGTGGCAAAGAAAGAGAGAGAAATAGTGTTGATGAAATGGGTTTTAGGCCGTGAAGGGGGAGTGAAATGGGTTTGAAATGTTTTCAACTTTCAAACTATATCCAACGGTCAAATGAACAATCTCAACCTTTAAATCCATAGGATAGATGTTCCATTGGGATTCAAACCGACTTCAATTAAACTAATGTAAAACAATGAAACTCTCAACAACCAATTCCAAAGACTTTTGCTTGAATAGTATGATAATGTGAAGAACCTATTCGTGAATTCTATAATTCTGTTAAGAACCTATTCGTTGAAATAAAAAAATGAAATGTGGTTTAGATTTAAATAAGACAAAATATATAAATAAAAAAAAATTTAGTTGATAATTGTAAGAAAAAATTAATAAACCATACTTATAAATTTGATTTTAATATACCCAATTTGATTTTAATAAACCCAAATTTTTATAAACCAGACTAAAAAATTTGATTCTTGCTCCCCCTACCCCACCCAAATAATGATAATTGTAAGAAAAAATTAAAAAATCAGGCTTATAAATTTTCTACACAACCAACCAAAACAATGATCAATCACAAACTGTAAACATCAGACACAATGTTTCAATCACAAATTGGACAATGTTTCACCGAATCAATGTTTAAATGTTTCGATCACAAAAATTAATGTTGAAATTAATTAATTAATTATAAAATTAGATTAGAGTTTAGTAAAGACTAAAGATTAGAGATTATAAAATTAGATTAGAGTTTAGATTAGATTAAAGATTTGAGTAGATTAGATTAAAGACTAATTAGAGTAAATTAGATTAGATTAAAGATTAATTAATTATAAAACCAGGCTTAATTGTTTCAATCAAAATATTAGAGTAGAGATCATTATCAGTAAAGACTAAAGATTAGAGTAAAGATTATCCAAAAATTAAAGATTAGAGTAAAGATCATCCAAAGATAGAAATATAAATACTAAAGAAAAAGCCCAGGTTTGCTCACCTGAACCATATGTATACCGGATTATTTCTTTGTTGAACACCATTGTTCCCTTTTGCAGTCCCCTTGTTCCTCTTTTGCAACGGCTCCGTCATTGTTGATGAAGATTGGCAGAGAGAGGGAGGAAGTGAGAAGATGAAGCGAGTAATACGGGGTATGGGGATCAATCGCCAGCAAGGGTTGGGTGGAATGGGCTCCGATGGAGGTAGAGAGAGAGAGGGGGTGCCGTCGTCAATATTCAAGGGTGTTTGGGGTAGCCACTGTTGATGAAGATTGGGATGGCAGAGAGATGAAGGGAGGAAGAGAGAAGATGATGAGAGGGAATGGGCTCCGACAGGGAAGGTTGGGCTCTGATGGAGAGGGAGAGGGAGAGAGAGAGAGATTGGGGGGACTGTGTGTTTTCAAAATTTGAAATCAAAAAAGAGATAAATGGGAGAGACAATGGGAGTGAGAGAGAGAGGTCTATTAAAAATGAGAGAGACAATGGGGTGAGATATTTTGAGCCCTTAGACTAAATCAATCTAATGGTCCAAATTTTGACACAGGTATAAAAGTCACATCTGGATTCAAAAAGCCTCTTGCCTTATTATATAGATTTTAACCCAAGTGTTCTTCCCAAACAAGCTCTTGTAGGCATAACATAAAAAAATTAAATAACAACCAAACATCACATAAAATATAACTAAAAATATTTTGAATCATAATTAAAAAAATATTATAACCAACATTACAACAATATATATAATTAAATCATACTTAATATCACAATCAGCCATAATGAAAATAAATAAACCCCACAAAATGGCTACACATAGAACCTTAAGTTATACAATATCTGCATATTATGCATTTGCATTTGCTTTCAAATTCTCGCAAAGGGCTGTCAAATAGTTAGTTGAACCTGTAAATAGGGAAATCCATTCGATCCAGATTGTGATCCATTTGCATCACAAATTATTAGTTGACAAAAATAGCTAAGAACTAAAATACAGTGAAATTTCCCTTTAAGAAGAAACCAGTGACGGCACCATAGCACGAAAGCTACACCAAAAAACAATTTTGCTACACATATCCAGAACTGTGCTCATACAAGCTACAATACAATTGACGATTCAAGAAAACAAAAGCTACCCTTCATGAGCCCCATAGCGGCATTTAACTTCATCCCCTTGTACAAGCGTCTCCACTGCATCCAAAGGAAGGCCGATCATGTCCAATGTCTTCTCCCACACTTTATAAGAAGTTTCTAGGTTGTGCGCTTCTTCAGAAGGATTTGTTGGACGGCAATCTTCAGATAAGAAAGCACAGACGGGCCACTCATCTGCTTTTAGCATCTCACAATACTCGGGAACCTGTGGATCAGTGGCAGCAAAAAGTGCACTTCGAGAACCTGCAGTGCAGCAGCAAAATCAAACTACTTAGTTGGCAATTATTTTGCAGATGTTTGACATTATTCTCAAAAACATCAAAATTCTTACAATAATGCTAAGAACACTAACAAACTATTGCTAACGCACTCTCAAGCCTTGGTAGGGCCACCATCACTTCGTGTGGGACCTACATCGTGTTAGTAAAATTGTTAGTATCCCAACCAAACAACAGTCCTGTATGCCTTCAGGCTCCAAAACAATTGTTTTGGGCTTCTCTCTACTTCAACCAGCCATCTCACCTCCAAGTGATACATGGACGCACGAAACTGCATACCTCTACTCTACCCCTCTCCACCACTGAAACATCATCCCCTTCATTGCCGCCTTCTAAGATCACATTAAATGTCTTCTAGTCTAATTGTATGATTTTCGGCAGACAGCCAAGGATTTCCAATTTAAAAAACTCGAGAACACCCTACCATTTTGAAGTGCAATTACTTAAGCATGTGATTTCAAATTTTAAGCTAATTAAATTGCAAATAAATGGAACCAAACGGAGTACAATGGTTTTGTTTGGAATCCTTACACCTGGAAGAGGCAAAGAGAAGGGAAGGAGGGGATGACTGTATGAAGAAAGAGGAAGAGAAAGAAAGTAGTTCACCAATTACCTTGTAGCATATTGGTGAAGTGTTAATGATTTAGCACGAAATCAAAGACTTGAGGACCATTGTCATCGTCAAATGAAAAGAGAATGAACACGTGAAAAATTCCTGATTGTTAAACTCTAATTGCATCATTTAAAGTTGTAGAATGATATTGGAGCGAGCTTGAAATCCATAAGGGTAGAGCTACCAGGTTCAATTCTTTTCCTGGGTAAACATATATTAACATTTAATAAACATGATTTTTTACAAAATTACAAAAAAATAACAATAATAAAAGACAGAAGTTATTGATGAATAGTTAGATCAATTCCATTGGAAGTAAATGCAAGATGATTCCTTTACATCATGCATATTGAGGTAAATTTGTAAAGTTGAATACTAAACAAGACAATTGCACTCGTAACAAATTCAAAGATTCACCAGCATTTAAGAAACCTCACCTTCTTGAGCACTAAAGATAAAATAGGGTATTAGGCGATAAGCAGCTTGAACAATTTTGGGAAGATCCCTTGCCTGCAATAAACGAAGTTATTTTGTGTCAAATATATGATGCATTTATTAACAACCAAAGCAAAATGACAAGTAAAATTACTGACATTAATAGTTTCCAGAAGATGTATTAATATGGTACATTATGAGCACCTCTTTTTTTTTTTTTTGATAACTCAGTATCCGGCCCATTGGACCAACCAATCCGGGCGACTAATCCACCGTCCACTTGCGGGGGTCCCAATTAAAGCTAGGGCAAAAGCCCCAGCTTTTTAAATGAGCACCTCAATTAAAAAATAACCTTTAAAAGATAACAGCTAAGGTTTTTGTCTCTCATTAAGATGTGTACACGCTGTTGCAAGGCAGAGAGGATTGTAAAGCTAGATATGTCATCGTCACATTGCAAGGGGGGGAGGGTTTATGTATTCCATCTAGCACCTTTCAACTTTAAACTATTGTGTGATTCTGTGGGAGGTAATTTTACACTCAGAATAGCCATGGGCCTGACCCAACTAAGCTGGAACAATTGGCCCAATCCAACCATGCCTATTAAATGATCTAACTAGACATCTACCAATATAAAAGGGGCACTCCTTGAAGTCCTAACTCGACTAGGCATGGTTCTTGGCAATCGGACATTACATAACTCCAAACCAACCAGAGTTGCTCCAAGAAACTGGGGAGCACATGATAGCAATACCCAACATCCATATATCACTCTGACCAAACAACAACAGATGGTTCTGTCACAACAACAAAAAACTTCCACTGTTTATTTAGACCAAAGGAAGTGAAAGTTGGGGAGCAATTGTGGGAGGTAATTTTACACCCAGAATAGCCATGGGCCTGACCCAACCAAGCTGGAACAATCAGCCCAATCCAACCAAGAAGCCCATCAAATGATCTAACTGGGGCAAAACATCTACCAATATAAAAGGGACAGCCCTTGAAGGAAATGGTATGCCTCCTGACTCTGTCTGCACACCACACAAACACAGTTGGTCCTTAGTCTATCCAAAAGAATCAGTCCCTAACTTCATCGCAGCACCCGCAGCAGAATCTACTGGTTGGATGGCACTAATAGTGTTTTGTTTTGCAAATTTGTGAGATGAAACCCATCTCCTTGTTGGAACTCTCCACCAATCTTTGTGAGCAGATTTTTATCACCTCACCTATTCATTTAAAAGGACACTCCACAGTCCAGTCAACCTCCAATTATTATTTTTTTTTGATAAATAATAAATTTTATTGAGAAAGCATCAAGATGATGCAATAAAAACAAGGCAACCAATAGAAGGAAACCAAACTCGCCTAACCAATTACATCATCCAAAAAATCTAAGAAAGAAAAAAAATCCGGATCCACTTTACATTCCAACCAACTATACAAGGTAACTAAAACCGATCCTCCAGCCACAACACCGGACGCTCAAGTCCTTGGAAAATTCTCCTATTTCTTTCTAGCTAAACAAACCACATCAAACAAAAAGGCACCAACAACCACACCCATCGCCGACACCGACCAATACGGGCCCCCCTCCAACTCCACAACATGTCCACTACCCCCTTTGGCTGTACCCATGTAATCCCAAAAAGAGAACAAGCCAACCCCCAAAGGCAAGAAGCAATAGAACAAAAGAGAAATAAGTGGTCAACGGACTCTGCATCAACACCACACATAAAACAGCGATTCACTAACACATGCCTGTGACAAACCAGATTATCAATAGTAGGATTCCAACCTAAAGCAACCGTCCATAAAAAGAAAACCAACTTAGAAGAAACTCAAGGCACCCAAATACTCTGCCAAGGAAACACATCTCCCACCTCCCCCACCAAGCTCCGATAAAAGGAACAAAGAGAGAACTGACCGTTAGCACCCACCACACTCCAAACCAACACATCTTCCCCCCTACCCGATAGGCCCGCCCCATATAGAAAGCCCAATAACTCTCCCAACTGATTCACTTCCCAATCCTGAACCTCACGCCGAAGCTGAATATCCCAAACCGCCACCTCCCCACCCCCCAAATAAGAAGCAACCGTGGCCTCCTGATCCCTTGCAATAATAAAAATCAAAGGGAAACGCACTTCCAACACTATCTCCTCACACTATCTATCCTGCCAGAATCTAACCTTCTCTCCAATACCCACACGAAAATTCACCCTCTCCCAAAACTCCCCCCTCCCCAAGCAAATTTCTTTCCACAACCCCTCCCATGTGGCCCCATCACTTCCCCAACCGCCAATCCCCGTCAACAACCCCAAACTTAGAAGCCACCACCCTCCGCCATAAACAATCTCGCTCTCTAACAAACCGCCACAACCACTTCCCTAACAAAGCCCTACATTAAACTGCACCAAACTCTACGCACCAAACCACCCACCTCCTTAGGATGACAGATCTAATTATTAACTATCGGTATGTTAGGCAAGTGGCTTACTGATGGTAGACCTGAGCATATGAATATATGGACTTTTGGTAATTTGTTGTGCCCAAAACATATGAGGTTGCATATATGGAGATGTAGGGTGTGTTTGGTTTGGAGAAAGAGTATAGAAATTTTTTTGGTTTGTTTAGTTGTATAGTTTGGAAATAGTTTTGGAGTATAGGAGTTTGGGATGATTTGATATTTTGTTATAGTTGAGTAAATGTGTGTGAGAGAGAAAAGGTGATTGAGAAGAAGAGAGGAGAGAGAAAAAGTGATTGAAAAGAAGAGAGGAGAGAGAAAAAGTGATTGAGAAGAAGTGAGGAGAGAGAAAAAGTGATTGATTGATGTGTAGGAGAAAGAAAGTGATTTTGGAAAAAAATTTCTAAAATCACTAAACCAAACAAAATTGTAGAAATTTTTTTCCAAAATTTGTTTCTTAAAAACAAACCAAACAAGGCCATAATTTCTTGCTTATTGCTTCCATATATTTACCCTAGATTTATCAACCTGATTCCTGAGATTCCACTGATCAAGTCTTTTTATTGCTATGGTAGTTCTTTTCGCATTGAGAAATACAAATTTGTTCGAAAATATATGCAGACATAACAATAGATATAAGACATCTACTGATGAAGAAATTGAAATATTCATGGAACTTACAACATTAGTTTGGACAATTCCAGGAGATACACATACTACGCTTATGCCAGCTTCAGCAGGCAGCCGTTTATGGAGGATGCTACTAAACATAACCTGCATTCAAATGCCACCCAAAGTTTCCAACCTCAGTTTTTTATAGCTGAGCATATAAAGAAAAAGGTGAATTTATATTTGCCCTTCCAACATGACATTGACAATGTAGCGTTGAACATAAACCCATCTGAATACAACGCAGTTGCTAACTGAATGGGTGGGCTCCCTCAATTTAACATGCAACCCGAATTTGACCCAGCCCAAACCCACCCATAGTTTAAAAGAATATAATCAACTATTACAAAGGTAATCAGCAAGAACTAGGATATCAAAATAGCTACTTCAAATAAGGGGAAACAATAAAGTAACAAAAAGGTGAATACCTAAATTCACTTTATTCAACGGTAGATGTAGAAAAGAACATGTAGAGTAGTGTTGATGCCCATGATTGAAACAAATAATCTTCAAAAAAAAAAAAAATAATGTGCAAACTGCAAATAGTCTAATGTAATTTCTTTGACGGTAAATAATTGAGAAGTGAAGGTTTAAAATTAGGACATAACAAATACTGAACATTTTTGTTGCCTAGGTTCTATTAGGGTCGTAGGCAGCCAGCCAAATATGTTGGTTGACCAAGTTTTAGGCCGTCTGGTATGGATCGACCATTCAAGAGTACAGGCAGACTCATTGAGAAGTACAGAGCATGGTATAGCTCAACAATGGGCTATAGGCTAACCCACAAGGGAATTGGCCGACCCATGATAATTCTTTGTTTAAACTCCACGTGTCTGTGGGCCAAAGCTTTCTTTGCACTTTGGTGCTTGAGAGCTTGCTTCTTTGGAAATCCTAGGAGCTCTCTTGAAGGTATAATTCTCATCCTACTATTATAATCTGTCGGTAGTATACATTGTCACCCTCACACAACTACACTTGGTGTCTCAACACAGCCTTTGAAAGGCATCGACAAAATTCCGTTTCTAAGTGTGCTATTTGTTGATGGGTAGGTTAAAGGCTTTGGGTGAGTCCAAGAAAACCCTTTGACTGTTTTTTCGTGGTTGATTGTAAACGTGTAGGTTGCCCTAGGAAAAACCAAGAGTTGTAAGAGTTTTGGGTGAACCTAAAAAAAGCCTATTTGAGATTAGTGGAGATAATATCGGCAGGGAAGGCAGGGAGTGGATGTAGGCACTTGGGGTGTGCCTAACCAATATAAGTCTTTGTCGTTATGCTCTTTACATTCCTTGCATTGTACTTTATATATCTTGCGATGAATGTTTGAGATGAATGCTTGATTGATTATATTGATTCCAAATGAATACTAAACTTGATTTTATCTATATAAGGATCAACATTCAAAATAGGCAGTGCTTGGTGAGGACCTTCAAAGAATATCTATAGTGTCACCAACAATTAGCAAGTAGGAAAGGAGTAAACAAGATCAAACTAACAATAAGAAATTTACCTTGGTCAACCAGAATAGTCACTGGTCAACCAGGACAATCCACTAAGTTTCTCAGACACTTTTACATATGCACTCCAAATGAACTTGCAAGGGACAAATTGGAACATTAAAATCATCGATGGTCTTATCAAAAAAAGAATTAGTAAGAAGAAACCCTTGAAGAACGAAAAGTCCACAACCTTTTGTCATCCGAAGCACTTGATAAAGAAACACTCTCAAGGATAGTTGATAACAACACAAATTCATTGGCCTCGCAATCATTCAGATTTTTTAAAAAATTAGAAGGTCGAGGACAAATGATCAAAGCTGGAGGAAACAATTCTTTATTATTTGAAGGAAACCCAGGCAGAATGTTCATTTCAGTCATCCACGAGTTAGAACACAGAGACCTACCCTCTTCCACACACACAAACAAAAACCAAAGATGAGCATGAATGGAAAAGAGAAAGCAAGGTCAGGTACGCAAGCCATCACATGAAGCTGTTTTTTACTATTCTTTGCCTCAAAAAATATACGTGGCGATAGCTCAATTAAAATAAGAAAAAGAAAGGGAAAGAAAATCCTTTTCAAGTATTGTAACTTCTAAAGAATAGATTGCACCTGGGCCAATTTGCTGCTTGAGTATCCCACTAAACTTGTATATTTTCTTTTACCAGAAACAACATTCATATCCTCTGTGTCAACAAATCCAACGTAATGCATCTACACAAAAGATAAATGAACAACTGTTCTCAGGTTTACATGTGTTACAAGAGAGTAATTAGCATGAAACAGGTTTACAAGTGATCAAACTCACTATCACTTTACAGATGATTATTTGAAGTCTTCAATCAACAAAGATTGCAGGTGAATCACATAGGTCATGTATTATATGAAGATTGCACTCAAAGCAATATTAAGAAAGAATTAACATACTCCAGAACTATGAGGTAACGTTTTCTAGCTCTAATATGTTTTATATCGACTAATTCGAATTTTTTATCTCCCCAAAAAATTAAAAGAGAAAATAATAATTTTCGTATGCTTGGAAAAATTATAAGTTCAACATTCACGCCTTTCCATTTGTTTAAAATCCCACATCCACTTATTGGAAACAAAAAATATATATTAAAAGAAAAAGAAAGCACAAATAGCTCAAAAAAGAGTGTTAAATGAAAACACATAGTTTACATATAACATTGTTGGTACATAAATTTCAACCAAATTTATGTTAAGATTTCAAATATGGTCAATTAGTCAATGACACATATAGAGCCTATGATATGAATATTGTAGGTAATCACTTCCTAAAATCAATCAGTCAATGACACGTATAGAGCCTATGACACGAATATTGTAGGTAATCACTTCATAAAATGATCAATATGATCCGTTGAAGTGCATAAATAAAATATCTTTGTCTCTTAGCGACGTTATTTAAGATACTCAAATGACACGTAAAGCCTACAAAGATGACACTTGTACAACCTACAGCAAGGACACCATATAGGATAAAACCCAAAGGATTAGTACGGTTAATCAGATATGATGACGCTAAATTCAAGCGGCATTATCATTCAATTTGAAATTCAAATTGAAGATGAAGCACTCTTGTCACATGGATGACCCTCTATAAATATGAGGACCATCATGAAGCTTGGGTAACCAGCTTGGGGTATGATAGAATATCACCCCCTATTTATAAATGAAGATTAGGGTTTACAAGAAACACAATTACAAGATGATCCCTGAGGGCATAAAATGATTACAGACCCTAGTGTAACTTTCGGCTAATAAAATATGCTAACACTTTCGGCTAATATAATATGCTAACACTCTCCCTCAAGCTGGTGCGAAGATATCTCTCATGCCCAGCTTGTCTAATATTTCATGAAATGGTTTATTCCCAATCCCCTTGGTGAGAATGTCAGCAAGTTGTTCACCAGACTGGACAAAAGGAGTACAAATGGTACCACTAGTGAGTTTCTCCTTAATGAAGTGGCGATCAATCTCAACATGTTTTGTCCTGTCATGTTGAACTGGATTGTGAGCGATGTTGATGGCGGCCTTATTGTCACAGTATAACCGCATGGAGTCCGTCTGATCAATACCTAGATCACTCAACAATAGTTTGATCCATAAAAGTTCACACACATCTTGTGCCATAACTCTAAACTCAGCTTCTGCACTTGACCTGGCAACCACATTCTGTTTCTTACTCCTCCAAGTAACTAGGTTGCCGCTAACAAATGTGCAATACCCTGAAGTTGATCTCCTATCAGTTACTGACCCAGCCCAGTCAGCATCTGCATAGGCTTCTACACGAAGATGATCATACTTTGAAAAATACAGACCCTTACCAGGAGCAGACTTCAAATACCTCAAGATTCTCATGACAGCCTCAAAGTGAATCTGATGAGGAGCATGCATAAACTGACTAACTACACTGACAGCAACAGCAATATCAGGACGGGAGTGAGATAGGTAAATGAGCTTACCCACTAATCGTTGATAGCTCTCCCTATCCACAACTTTTCCTCCTTCATCATCCCCTAATTTCTGATTGGGTTCTAGTGGGGTGGCACATGCCTTGCAGCCAAGCATCCCAGTTTCCTTCAACAGGTCAAGCACATATTTTCTTTGTGAGATAAATATCCCATCCTTAGAGCGAGCAACTTCAATTCCCAGAAAATACTTCAAGCTTCCCAAGTCTTTGATTTCAAACTCTTGAGCTAAATATTTCTTCAACAGAGGTATTTCCCCACTATCATTGCCTGTAAGAACTATGTCATCTACATAAACAATAAGTGCTGTAGTCTTACCACGTGAGGAATGTTTCACAAACAATGTGTGATCTGCCTGATTTTGTTTGAAGCCATATTTAAACATAGCCTGAGTGAATCTCTCAAACCAAGCCCTTGGAGACTGTTTGAGACCATATAATGACTTCCGAAGTATGCATACTTTGCCTTCTGTTTGATGATCCTCAAAACCTGGAAGAATGTCCATATATACTTCTTCTTCGAGGTCACCATGGAGAAAAGCATTCTTGACATCAAACTGATAAAGCGGCCAATCTAGATTAGCTGCTAGAGAGAGAAGTACTCTGACTGAATTCATTTTAGCCACGGGTGCGAAGGTCTCCTGATAATCAATGCCATATGTCTGAGTAAACCCTTTTGCCACAAGTCTTGCCTTGTAACGCTCAATAGACCCATCTGCTTTGTGTTTCACAGTATATACCCATTTACATCCCACAGGTCGTTTGCCCATAGGTAACTCAGTCAATTCCCAAGTGCCATTCTTCCTAAGTGCTTTCATTTCCTCAATCGTGGCTAGTTTCCACTCAGAGGTAGCAAGAGCATCCTGAAAATGGTTAGGAATGCTAACAGAGGAAATATTGGACACAAACGCTCTATATGAGGATGACAAATGAGAGTATGATACAAACTGTGAGATAGGATGTTGAGTACAAGGTCTCACACCCTTCCTCTTGGCAATAGGAACATCAAGATCAATGGACTCAAGAGATTCAAAGTTACCTAGACTCTTATCAGAAGCAGAAGATGGCAGTGGAGTAGCAGAGACGGTCCCGTGTATCCAGTTAACTTGTTTTCTGTCTATGTCCCGGACATAAACATTCTCGTCCTTATTCTTGGTGACAGTGGGTTCTATAGTTCCAGTAGAGGGGGGTGCAAGAACAACTGGTTCCATCATAGGAAGCACAGTAGTAGAGGGTGGTGCAAGAACAACTGGTTCCACCATAGGAGGCACAGGACTCACTTCACACCAAGGCTCCCCCAGAAATGAGGACGGTGACACCGGAGAGGACAAGAAATAGGACTTGGACTCAAAGAAAGTGACATCCATGGACACAAACCACTTACGAGAAGAAGGGTGGTAACATTTATACCCCTTTTGAGTAGGAGAGTAACCAAGGAAAACACACTTGAGGGAGCGAGGGTCCAACTTACCACGAGAGGGAGAGTGATCATGGACAAAACAGACACAACCAAATATTTTGGGAGGAATAGAAAATAAGGACGGAGAACCGAGGAGGACGTGAAGCGGAGCCTGTTTGTTCAAGACCTGGGTAGGGAGACGATTAATAAGATGGGCAGCGGTGAGAACAGCGTCGCCCCAATAGGGCCGAGGCACATGCATAAAAAAACACATTCACCGAGCCATGTCAAGAAGATGCCGATTCTTTCGTTCGGCCACCCCATTTTGTTGAGGGATATTGGTGCAAGAGGTCTGATGGATAATGCCATGAGTAGAGAAATATTGTCCTAACCCAGAAGCTATGTATTCTCCGCCATTATCAGAACGAAATATTTTGATAGTGGCCCCAAACTGAGTACAAATCATCTTATGAAAAGTGCGAAACACAGAGAAAACCTCACTCTTATCTTTCATGAGATACACCCAAGTAGCACGAGAAAAATCATCAATAAAGGTAACAAACCAGCGATGACCTTTCACAGACAGAACACGAGAGGGACCCCAAACATCAGAATGTATTAATGAAAAAGGAACTAAGCTTTTATTCAAACTGGGAGCAAAAGAAGCTCTATGTTGTTTTCCAAGTTGACAAGACTCACAAAGAAAATCAGACACATGATGATTTGCGAAACTAGAAGGAAATAAATGCTTAAGTAAATGAAATGAGAGATGCCCAACACGCCGATGCCACAGCCATAAATCAGCGAGGGTAGTAGAAGACGTGGTGGAAGAATAAGCAAGTTTGTCCGGTTGATCTAGGAAGTAGAGACCATTTTCTGCACTACCACTGCCAATCGTCCTCCCCGTGACAAGGTCCTGAAAAAGACAATGATCATGAAAAAACGTCACACTACAATTCAAATCCTGGGTAAGACGACTTAAGGATAACAGATTAACAGAAAACTTGGGAACATGGAGAACAGAAGATAGATGTATGGTAGGAGTGACTTTGACTAAACCTTTTCCAGAAATGGAAGAAACAGTACCATCGGCAATCCTAACTTTGTCCTGACCTGAAGAGGGCTTATAGACAGAGAAAAGATCAGAAGAGCCAGACATATGATCTCAGACATCAAAATCAATAATCCAAGGCAAAGATGTATGACACAGGAAAGCACAAGGAGAAGATGCTAAGTTACCTGAGCGGGCAAAGGACGAGGAAGCGGTACTGAGAGCAGTAGAAGATCGGCGGTCCAACAATTGGCGCAAAGCATCCTCCAGCTCAGTATCAGAAGCTTGGGTAACAGAAGTAGAATTAGAATCAAGGGTATCAACGGCACTAGACTGATGAGCCCGGGAATAGGAACGACGTCCTCTAGATGGGCCTGACCAACCTCCTCGAGAACCAGACCGATCACCTCGACCCCCGGATGGAGTCCCATGAAGCTTCCAACACGTCTCACGAGTATGCCGCGGCTTCTTGCAATAATCACAGAAGACAAACTCCTTAGCAACAGACGGAGGAGGCAGGCTGAGGCCATCTCGACGAGTAGATAGTAATGCGGAACGGTCAGTAGAGACAGGGGACATCATAGCAGACTGGCGACTCTCCTCATTTTGTACATAGGCAAATACCTCCTGAAGTGAAGGAAGAGTGTCCATACTCAGAACTCGACCCCTAACGGGATCATACTCCACATTTAGGCCGGCCAAAAATTTAAAGACCCGTTCCCGTGCGATGAACTTCTTGTACCCGACAGAATCAGTAGGGCAAACGGGCTTATAGTCTTCCAAGTAGTCAAGGCGTTTCCAGCCGTTGGTGAGGAAAGTGAAGTACTGAAGAACAGTCTGCTCCCCCTGAAGTGAGCTCTCAATAGAGCGGCACAGTCTCTTGAAGAAATCCACGCAAAAAAACATTCTTGACATCCAATTATTGTAGAGACCAACCAGAAGAAATGGCCAAGCTAACAATAGTATGAAATAGTGGTTGGCTTAACCATGGGGCTGAATGTCTCATCATAATCAAGGCCATGCTGCTGATGAAAACCCTTAGCCACTAAGCGAGCCTTGTAATGTTCAATAGAACCATCTGCTAAGCGTTTAATCTTGAAAACCCATATGCAACCAACTGCATTCTGACGCGAGGAATGAGGAACCAAGGTCCAAGTTTGATTTTCACGTAAAGCATTAAATTCATCGGTCATAGCAGCCCGCCATTCCGGATATCGAGCAGCTTGAGAATAGGGTTGGGGTTCTCAGTCATGGTAGTAGGTAGAATGGGACTCTCACTCCTCGGTGTTTGAGAAGAAGGGGACACACTTGTGGAATCTGTCATGGATACAATACTACCGAACCTGCAACAAAACTAGTGGTAATCACAAACCCGGAAGGTGGTCGTGAGATAACAGGCACAATGATCACTATAAAGACATTAAGAAACCATTTTGTTTTTTTTTGTTTTTTTTTTTTTATTATATATATATATTGATTTATTTATGTATACATGTTATTTATATATAAATATATATATTAGGCTAGATTTATATATATATCAGGATAGATATATATAGTTATATGTACCTGGGTGAGAGATCAGAGGACGACGAGGGGGGGTGGAGACGAGCGACGAAGGGGATGAGTGACGAAGACGACAGAGGACGACGAGGGCGATGGAGACGAGCGACGAACCGCTGGAGGAGCTGAGATCGACGAGCTGAGGAGCTGAGATCGACGAGTGACGAAGCTGAGACGAAGACGAAGCAGAATGACGACGATGGCTGAAGATCGACCCAGCAGATGATCCAACTAGGTATGTTTTGAATCCTAACCCTAGAGGTGAAGCTCTGATACCATGAAGCTTGGGTAACCAGCTTGGGGTATGATAGAATATCACCCCCTATTTATAAATGAAGATTAGGGTTTACAAGAAACACAATTACAAGATGATCCCTGAGGGCATAAAATGATTACAGACCCTAGTGTAACTTTCGGCTAATAAAATATGCTAACACTTTCGGCTAATATAATATGCTAACACATCACACAAGAGAGGGGGATCAGAAATCAAGAGATCACAAAGAGAGAAAGGCATCAAAAGTAAGAGAAACCAAGAGAATTCAAGAGCCTATACTACACTGCAAACATCTGATATAATGGCAAGCAATAGGTAAATTGTTCCAAACCCAACAATTGTATCTTGTATCTAAGGGTTCTGAATCCCTACAACTTCAATAAAATATTTTTTTTTTCTTAAATTGTCTTCCGTTATTTTTCTTTTTTTCGTTCTTCATTAATCGGAGATTTCATTCAATTAAAATGTGTAATTAACGATCTCGAATACAAGTCAAAAATAGGAACCTACTATTCAAATAATCAACACTGTTTAATCCAAAAAAAAACTAAACAGTGGACATTTGTAACATGAACTTTGAAATGTGTTGAAACACTTCATGTTTCGAAATTTGGGTCAACAAACATTCAACCAAAAACATAATTGGTAACTCCACAAAAATTGATAGGAGACATGAAGTACAATAATATTTCAACTACTAGATAATAAAAAATTCAGAACAGAAACATATTAGTATATAAACACCTAAACATATGTCTATCCATGTATACCATGACATTAGACTTACAATGGAATTCACATTAATAATTCGGCTTGGAGAACCTCTTATAAGAGAGGGCAAAAGCAATACTGAAAGGAGTGCTGGAGCCAGATGATTCACTTGCATGTGTTCTTCATACCCGTCCTTTGAGAATTTTTGTGGTTCTAAAGAACGGAAAAACAAGAGATATCAGTTTAACCATGAAGAAAAGAAATAAAAAGTAACCTCAGCTTGTTTATATTAAGAAGTTAGATAGAAGCAGATTGTGAAAAAGATATTTTTACCAGACAAATCAATCCAAAAGGAAAAACAAATTGAGGGCCATAACAAGAAGTGTACTTCACAATCAATCAACTCAACAGATAACATCCTAGTTGGCGCCTAGCAGAGTGGACAATTCAAGTGCACAATATCAGTATGAAGTGAGAAGCAAAACTAGATATTCAACAAAAGGTAATAAAAAAGTAAAAAATTATGGAAGCAACTAAAGGATTATCAGTGAGTTTTAGCCTGTATGAGCTACAAATGTATTTGACCGTAGGCTCTAATACCAAGTTATGATCGAAGGCAAGAACAAAGAGAAGCAAAAGATGGAAAGCAAACCGAATAGGGTGGTATGAGATAATGACCTTGTCCCAACACCAATGTATTTATATCACAAAATTACAATCGTACCCATATTTCAAATAACAAACAATGAAACTAGCAAGATAACAATTATTAATAACGATCAAAGTAAAGTACAAAATAAAAAAAGAGGGAAGAAGAATGGGATCACCCATAGTCCTCTAACCATAGTTCTCTAACAAAGTATAAGAAAATTAAAATAAAGAAAATACAATTATACATCACCCATAGTTCTCTAACCACTCAAAATAAAAAGAATGGGATCCCCTTGAAGTATGGAGCGATTGAGCCCAAAGATGTCAAATAGCAAATTTTATCCCATAAGCTCTCAATATCTTCAATCTCATCTTTAAAAAAAAAAAAAATTGTGCATTTCTTTCCAACTAAGTTACTTAAAACACCACGCAAACTACACACTTCCAAAGAATGAGAAAAGGACCACCCATTCTCCACTAAAAGATGGATTGGTGTGGTTCCTCTACACCTAGGACACCAGAAAATCAAACCATGAATGAAGGCATGAGAGAAGCATATTGGCTGGAGATTGTGAGGCTCCAACTCTTGACTGGAGGTGACACCAAAGGCCACTACTGCAAATTTCTTGAATTTGAGACTTTCTACACTAAAATATTCTCTTAAACGAAGGTATATTCATGCTTAGATGGCGGCCCAAGATCAGCCTCATGAAAGCCATATAATCCCTAAGGAGGTTCTACTCCATGGAAACAATCTTTAATGGAAGTTTAGCTTTAGCAAATTGTGACTCTTATATCTTCCAAAAGGAAAAAAAGATCTCTGAGAGTAGTTCCTAAATCCGAAAGCAAGTACTTGGGCTCTCCCATTATTACGATAAAAGTGTTTACCGGATACAAATAATTTCATTAGAAGATAAAAAATAGGACCCACATAGTACTGAGAACGGAAATATCAAGATGGATACTAACATTTCAGGGAGTGAATACATGTACTAACCTCCAATTGAAAATATCCCTGCATTATTGATGAGGACATGCAAAAGCCCTGAACGTGCATTCCATGCTTCAGCAAATTTCACAACAGAATCTAAGGAGAGAAGATCGAGTTCCATCACCTTAAGAAGTCACAATTTCAAGTGAATTAGCAGTCCTGCAAACTAAAACAGTAATCTGAAAGATAGTCAATGATGAAGCAGAAAGTTTGGCCAAGAGAGAGGATCCACTCTTGAATCGCAAAGAGATAATTGTTTCTGCCTTGAGAAGTTTTGGGACTCCTTTTTGTTGTCGGGATCTACTTTATTTTTCCTGTGTTATTTCTTATTCTGCATAATCTTTATAGTATTTGCTGTTCTTTTTCTCTATACTAAATTATCATTGTTTATAAAACATTTAAGAATAAAAGAAACTAAAAGGTTAAGAAAAAGGATGCTTGACAATAAACCAAAAGAGATCATATATACAATTCTCCATAGATGTAGAATTACAAAGGAGCTGTTCTGCCTGCAGTGGGGACGTCTGAATGCCCCTGATATTGTCTATTTTTGTAATTTTTAAACATATAACATTTTTCCTAAAGGAGGATTCAGTGTGTTATATACCTCAATATTAAGAGGAAGGCCCATTCCTGACCATTCCTCCTGCCACTTCCTGATCAACTCATGAGCAGCCTTAGTGTTCCTAACTGCCATTACAACATGAGCCCCTGATTCCGCTAATTGCCTGCCCAACCAAAGGAAACACGCAATTATGGAAGCTAGTAAAATAAACATGTCCTTATGTCCAGTAACTTTTTTTGTTTATAACAAAAAGAATGCAAAATTATGTCAATGAAATCTTATCACAATTACAAACAAAAAACCCTAAATCCGTTTAGGATGGGGTTTGGGTCGTGACATTCTCTTTACTAGAAGGCAAAAAATTCATCAAAGTCCAGAACTAGCCACTTTTGTTGGAGAGTTCACCATTATACTGTATCTAAGGCTCTAGTGTCCGTATCTTTCATCAAATTACATGCCATTGTGCCATTTGGTTGCAAACAAGCAAAGTCAAGCCGAACTTTAGTATGTTTGAGCTTGTTTATTAAGATTTTAATGAATTAGAGCTCGAGCTCGACAAAAATTTTATGAACCAAACTCGAGCCGAGTTGGCATAGGTTTGACTCAAGCTCAAGCCTGTTCACGAGCCTTAACGAATCAAAAAAATTATAAATTCATATTTGCGTACGAGATTAAAGTTATTATTGAAACTTTGATTATACAATTATATATATAATATATATAAACATACTTAAAAAAAAAGTCAATATTTTACTAAAATAATAATATCTACCACCACTATTATTATATAAATGTATTATCTATAGTTACTAATTAGCTATTATTTACATTTATATTTTTAAAATATATAAATAACATATTTATTTTATTTTTTATACATATTTTTACATTATTTAATATATGAATAATAAATAGGGCAAATTACACTAACAGTCCCTATAGTTTGGGGCTTGTGTCACTTTAGTCCCTGACTTTTCAATTGTGACACATTTGATCCTGAATTTTGAATCTTGTTCCAAATAAAGACAATTAACATACCATTACTTAATTTTAAGGGCAAAATCGTCAATTTGATAAAATATAAACTAATTTGATAAAAAATAAATGTCAAAAAAAATATTTTAAAACTTTTAAAAATTATTTTTACCCACCAAAAATAAAATTATGTAAAATTGATAAAAATTAATAAAAATTACATGATTAATTTTTAAAAATTAATTTTACATGATCATCATCCAAATACATAATAAAAATTAATTTGGTAAAAAAAAAGAAATAAATATCTAAAAGATTTATCAATTTTATATAATTTTATCTTTAGTAAGTAGAAATAATTTTTAAAAATTCAAAAATAATTTTTAACATTTATTTTTGTCAAATTAATTTATATTTTATTAAATTGACAATTTTACCCTTGAAAAATCTAATAGTATCTTCAATTGTCCTTATTTAGAACAAAATTCAAAATTCATGGTCAAATGTGTCACAATTGAAAAGTCAGGACCAAAATGACACAAGCCCAAACTATACAAGCCCAAACTATAGGACCATTAGTGTAATTCACCCTAATAAACATTAAATGAGCCAACTAACGAGTATAACTTAATATATTTAGGCTTATTTATTAAGATTTTAACAAGCTCTCAAACCCAAGAAAAAACATTAACGAACCGAATGTGAACAATCAGCTCGAGCCTATTCACAAACGACCCTGTTCATTTGAACCCTAATTGCCGTCCAGTTTAACAAACAAATTTTTTTTTTCCCTGTTCATACAACAATCCAAAACAATCTGTGCTCTCACTGCAACTATATAGCTACTTGGGAGAAATAGAGTAACATTAAGACCAGAAAACAAAAAACGCAATAATCATTGAATCAAAAAGGGAAAAAAATCCCAAAATTGTAAACATTTTGAGGACAATAAATAGTAAAAGTGAAGAATGAAAGTGAAATGGGGATGTGTAAGAGTGAGGAGAACCTGGCGATTTGAAGGCCAATACCACTGGTAGATCCAGTGATGATACAGGTAAGATCGTGGAGAGGAGGCAAAGGCATTGGGTTCTGCAAATGGCTAGCCATTATTCTCTGAAATAGCATCTCGTATGCCAAATACAACCAACCTCTCACCCACTCCATCCATCCCAAACCCTCTTTCTTCTTCTTCACCACCTTCTCTCCCTCTCCCTCTCCCTTTCCTTCTCCCTTTCCCTCTCGAGAAAACGCAGACTCCGATGTTGAAGCCATTTTCTCTCTCTCTCTCTCTCTTTCTCTCACTCCACTAGTGGAAAGATCTCTCTCTCTCTGGGACCTGGCAAATGGGAGCGCTTTGGGTTGGGCTCATAATAATTGAATGGGGCCTGTTAGGCCTGTGGATGTTTATTACGAATTTTGTTTTTGATAATTTGTACTTTTTAATACGTGAAATGCGTCAAGTATTATATATATATAAAAAATTATATTAATTGAATATTGATAGTTATTTTATCGGATCAAATTTTAGTTAATTGTTTATTTTTTTACTATTTATTTTTTTATACAAAACTAATTTGATCATATAAGTATCAATATCCTATCAACGTAATTTTTTAACAATTTAAATTATTGAAATTGGGCCGTGATGAATCCTACAGACCTAATATTCTCTCTAATCCAGTTAGATGACAATACCTTATATAAATTATTTTAATATCATCTAAAATATAATAATTTATAAATATATTTAATATTATTTACATATTTATAAATACAACTCAAGTTTTTAATTGTTTGAGTTTTCCATGCCAGGCATGATCTAAATTTAGTTCAAACTTTTGAATTTTATCTATATGGCACTGAATTTAAAAATAAATTATTCAAATCCTTTAAAAAAACAAAACAATACAAAACTTATTCAAGTTACAAATTGGGCCGGGCACGTGCTGTGCCTAATGGCTGTATGTCACCCTCTCAACTCAATTGAAAATGATAACTATGCCGGTTGGTGGAGTTTTTTTTAAGTTAAAAATTGATAATTAAAAAATAAAATTAAAAATATTTTTATCTTAGTTTTTAAATAATCAATTTATTTAAATTATTACTGCTTAATAAGTTATTAAAGAGTCTAATACAAACTTTCAAATTAAAATAAAGTATAATCACCTAAAAATTATAACAAACAGTCCCTATGTTTATATACAGAGGTGCTCATTCTGTCCCTGTGAATTATGGCGCATCTTCAGCTGGGCCAAAAATCTTGGCTGGGCTGTTTTATTTTATAAACCTAACTCCCACTCAAAACAACCTTGAACCTTACAACACCATAACATGAAGCCCAACAGCCCAATGACACTTTGCTTTTATAGGGTATTTTTGGAAAATAAATCATTCCCTCATTTTGTTAAGTAATGTGCTGACAGGGTATGGAAAAATTGAAGGGATTGAAGTGGTCACACTCAACAATGGATTACTCATATTTAAAATTCATAATGAGCAAACTTTGAAAAAAAAATCTCAATAATGGTCATCACCAATTTAGTGAAAAATTATTAATCCTCAAGATGTAGCGCCTGATGATACAATTATGATGTGTTTGGTTGAAAGATTTGAGAAGATATTTGGAAAAGGAAGGGAAAAGGTGTGTGAAATTAGATAAAATTTAAGTATATTTTATTCACATTTTGCCTACTTTTTTCATTTTCCTTTTCAAATTCCTCCTTAAAATCCTCAACCAAACACAGCATTAAAGTGACAATAATATTCTTAGAGTACCCATTTGGGTTAATTTTAACAACGTGTAGTTAGGACTTTTTGGACAACCAAGGGATTAAATTATAAAGGGAGTTACGGGCCAGTCCTTTGGACCAGACTTAATTCTTATGAAGTCCTGACTCAAAAAGATTTGGCACGTGTTCCCATTTACTCTTAACATTCAATCCAAATAAAGAAATCACTCTACCGTTCTACTCTCTCTTTCTCTGTCACAACTGTTTGAATATCTCTCTCTCTTAACCGGCCACTGAAGACCACTTCTGATTGCCGGACTATCATTGACATCCGATGACTCCTTTGGCTTTTATCTTTGATTGCCGGCAGCCATTGCTGACCTCCAGCAACTACCTCCGAACTTTGAAAATATTTTTTTGTGTGACCATTTTCCATCTCTACCATGTCAATACCGACAGTACCTCCTCAAACAATGTGGCAACAAGAGAAAAATAGACGAATAAGGAAGAAGAAAATTAAGGAGAGAGATGTGGAATCTGTACCAGAAAATAATTATTCACATTTGTAGATTAACACAAAGAATCAAAGACAAACCTAGTAAAAAAATTATGATTGACATATTCAGTGATAAATTTAACCACTCACTGATTGTTAAAAATTACAAAATCTCATCATCATCATCACAAATCAACACAAAATTCAAAGACATATTCAGTGATAAATTTATCATTGACTGTTTGTTAAAAAATTACAAAAAAAAAATCTCGTCATCATTGTCACAAATCAACACAAGAATCAAAGGCAAATTCAATGTAAATTTAGTACTGATAAACACATTCACTAATAAATTTCTCACTGACTGTTTGTTAAAAAATTATAAAAAGAAAATCTCGTCATCATCGTCACAAATCAACACAAAGATTCAAAGACATGTTCAGTGATAAATTTATCATTGATAGACACATTCACATAAATTTTTCACTAACTATTTGTTAAAAAATTATAAAAAGAAATTGTTAGACTTATTTATTTTGATGATTTATTTAATTATGTTTTTAATTTATTTGGAAGAGAAAAATAAAATTAAAATTTATTTTAATGATTTATTTGAAAGAGAAAAATAGATTCAATATTTATTTTGATGATTTTATGTTTTAATTTATTTGAAAGAGAAAAATAGAATCAAAATTTATTTTGTCCAATAATTTCTTACCTAAAATTTTTATCCTAAATATTGTTAGAATGTATTTAATATTTGATTAAATCAAAGGTTCAAACAGCCCAAAACAAATATTCAAACAGCTCAGTACAGCAGCACGCCAAAAGGTTCAAGTGGAAGATATTCAAATTAGTAATAATGGAGTGGAAGATATTCAAATTAGTAATAATGGAGTGGAAGATATTCAAATTAATACAACGGCTATAAACGGCTATAAGTTTCATTATATATACCAAAGCCTCTAATATAAACAAGTTACAAAAAAAACTAGAAATATTCTTTGATCTATAATCATTCACATCTATTCTCTGAAAAATTATCTGAAAAGTGTTCTTCAATTTTTGTTTACATCCTCTTTCAGAAATTATACACTGAGACGTATATCTTTAAGCCCATCTTTCCTGTATGAGGTTTACAGAAAAACAAGAGTTTCGTTTTTATATATATCTTTGAGAGATAATTCTTATAGCTTTCTGTGAAAGCAAAAACATATTCTTTTCAACCTTGTAAGAGTGTAAGTGTTCTTAACTTAGAAAGTCTGTATAAAATCCGTGAAGGATTGCTTCATTTGTAAAGAGGTTGCTAGCACCCTCGTGAAGCTAGAGCCTAGTAGAAAATCTAAAGTGAAGCTTGAAGAGTGGACGTAGGCTGAGTTGAAGCCGAACCACTATAAATTTGTTTGCCTCTCTCTCCCTTATCTCTTTATTTTATTTAAATTACTGTAGCTATATTTCACATTTTTACTATGTTAAAATCATTAATTAACATAGTTGTTAGAACACTTGTTTTAATTATTTTTATTTCATTAACTATATTTATTTATTGTGCTAACCATAATTTTTATTAGGGTATTATTAATTTTTAATTGTAAAAACCCAATTCACCCCCTCTTAGGTTGTCTTTTGGGTAACAATTGGTATCAGAGCCTAGACTCTTATTTGAGATTTAACCATCTGAGAGTTTCGATCTATGGCAACCTTAGTTAGCACTGCCGAAGGACAAGCCACCAATAGGTCACCACTATTTTATGGAAACAACTATAGTCATTGGAAAGATAAGATGACCCTATACTCTTAAGCCACTGATTATGCCATGTGGATTATTGTCACAAAAGGTCTAAAAATTCCTACTAAATTAGTAGACAATATTAGTGTACCTAAAACAGAATATGAATGTGATGAGAGGGATCACAAATTATTGCAAGCCAATGCTAAAGCCAAACTCACTCTTGTTTGTGGATTATACTCTAAGGAGTATAATAGAATTTTAAATTGTGATTCGGTAAAAGAAATTTGGGACAAACTAGAGGTAACGTATGAAGGTACAAACCAAGTGAAGGAATCTCGTATTGATATGCTTGTTCATAGTTATGAATTGTTTAAAATGAACTATGATGAATCTATTTCAAGTATGTTTACTAGATTTACTGAAATTGTAAACTCTTTGAAATCTCTTGGCAAAATTTATGCTAACAGTGAGTTGGCGAGAGAAATTCTTAGGTGTTTACCAAAGAATTGGGAAGCAAAGGTTACCGCCATTATAGAAGTCAAAGATCTCTCCACACTTGGATTGGATGAGCTTATGGGTTCCCTCGTGACTCATGAGATCACCATGAAAGGACATGAGGATGTTGAAAACAAAAAGAAAAGTGGAATTGCATTCAAAGTCTCATCAAATAAAGAAGAACATGAAAACTTCAGTGAGGATGAAAGCTATGCCATGTTTACTAGAAATCTCAAAAAGCACTTCAAGAAAAACAATTATGGAGGAAGAAAACCTTTCAAAAAGGAGTATAACAAAGATAACAAGAAAGAACCTATTATTTACCATGAGTGCAAAAATCCTGGACATATGAAGATGGATTGTCCAAAATTGAAAAACCATGAAAAAGACTACAAAAGAAACAAAAAGGCCATGGTAGCAGCTTAGGGAAAAAATGAAGATGAAAACTCAAGTGATGAAATTGAAAATGAAGTAGCCAACTTGTGTCTCATGGCTCTTGAAGACGAAGACTCTACTCAAGATGAGGTAACTACTCTTTATGAAAAACTTGAAAGTGCATTCCATGAACTACAAGATGAATTTAGAAAAGTTTGTGCCAAAAATAATGTGTTAAAAAATCTACTGCATCTTTATCTATTAATGTAGAAGAATTAAATAAAGAAAAAATTGTTTTGAAAAATGATTTTGATACTATATCTAATGAGAAAACTACTTTAAAAAACAATGTTGATGATTTAACAAAAACACTTGAAAATTTTGTAAAAGGTAGAGATAATCTCAACATGCTTCTTGGAAATCAAATATGTGTTTTTGATAAAGCGGGTATTGGATATGACCCTATTAAGAAACAAAAGAATCTCAATACAATTTTTGAAAAGGCAACTCTCATGACACA